ATTTATTTGCCGACTTTGCTCTCTGTCTACCCTCTTACTACCCTGACTAGTCCACCACTTCCCTGAGACCCTGTCTTACATACCTCTGTATCCACAGTGCCTGGCGTGGTGACTGACAGGAATCAAACGCTAGTTGACAAATGGTTAGAATTCACAATTATTCTTTAATGTATTTTTTTACAATAAATAGATATTAAAGGTATAGTTACTATGTCCCAGGCAAATATGGATTTCTTTTAGTGGGGTCCTAAATTAGAGAACAAAATTTTTGTAATTCATATCATAAACAAAGGAATAATTTCTTAATATTTTTTTAAAATCTTCAAACTGGCCCTGGCTGGTGTGGCTCAGTGGATTCAGTGCTGGCCTGTGAACCAAAAGGTCGCAGGTTCCATTCCCAGTCAGGGCACATGCCTGGGTTTCAGGCCAACTCCCCAGTAGGGGGTGTGTGAGAGGCAACCACACACTGACTTTTCTCTCCCTCTCTTTCTCCCTCCTTTCCCCTCTCTAAAAATAAATAAAGTATTTTTTTTAATCTTCAAACTGCCCTGGTTGGTATAGCTCGGTGGATTGAACACCAACCTATGAACCAAAGGGTCGCTGGTTTGATTCCCAATCAAGGCATATGCCTGGATTGTGGGCCAGGTCCCCAGTTGGAGGCGAATGAAAAGCAACCACACAATGTTTCTCTCCCTTTTGTTTTTCCCTCCCTTCCCCTCTGTCTAAAAATAAATAAATAAAATCTTTAAAAAAACCTTCAAACTAGGAAAGTCATTGACAAAAATGAGCAAAAGGTAAACTAGCTCACTAAAAAGTAAGATAAAAAACTCCAAAATATGTTAAGATGAATAACTTTTATTCAAAATAAAAAAAAACAAATTAAAGCTACTAGATATCATTTTTCACCTTTCAGCATGATAAAGATATAAAGTACAATGAACACTTTGTAGATTACAAAGAAACATGCTCTCTCAGACATTGCTGGCCGGAGTGTAAACGGATATAATCTTTTTGGAGAGTAATTTGGCATTATCTATAAAAATTAAAAGTACCCTCCCCTACGACTTAATTTTCAGGAATTTAGCTTATGGATATACTTTAATAAAAAGCAAAATGATGCATATGCACAGGCTACTCATTAAAACACATCCTGCAGACAAGAAACAAGGAGAATGTCCAGCAGTTGCTCCATACCAGGGAGTATGATGCAGCTGCATAAAGGAATCGGGCAGCTCCTTACAGACTCATGTGGAACAATCTCCACGGCATGTTGGTAAGTTAACAAACTCACAGTTTCAGGACTGTGTTATCACACTGTTTCTTTTGTTTTTGAAAATATTTATGATATGCTTTGTAAATATATAAAATGACTTTGAAATGACAGAAAACACTGTAACTTTGTTTGCATCTAAGGAGAAGAACAGAATGTCGAGTAATGGAGAAAGGCTTGCTTTTGTAGCTTTTAGGCTTGAAACTATCATTTATATGATTATTAACCATCTAAAACAAATCAATTTAAAAGATCATATCCACACACAAAAGTTTTCAAATTATTGACTTAGAAACCTCTCTAGATTGCTTCCAAACTTCAGATTGTGTGTCATTCCAAAATTTCAGGTCAACAAAAAGAAATTATACTCTTATCCTTATTCCTTTTGCACAGTAAGTTTGTTCTTCATAAATAATGATTCCTTGAGTCAACAGACATTCTTCTCCTTCTCGCACCAGAGCCTGTCCTCCTCAACTGAGAGTTCTGACACCTGAAGACCACAGCCTTACCCACACAGCTCTTCAACCTCTGCAGGAGGAGATATATTCCTAGAAGGTTATATTCTGAAACGTAAAATACACCGTAGATATTTATTGTGCCAGAATAATCATTTTTTTCTAGAAGACGCTAACACAATAAATAGTATAAGGGAATTTAGCTGCCTCCTCAGGCTTTTCAACTCATCTAGTTTAGAAGCTAGGACATGTTTATATGAAAAAATAATGACCATGCTAGGAAGAATATTATAGATGCCAAATAAGTAGCACAAGTAAGCAATCCCTCAAGAAATTCAAGAGGAAAATCACATTTACTAGTGCAATCAGAAAAGGCTTCAAAAGAGAAACAGAATTTGAGTTGGGCTTGATGTACGATCTGTTCAGGAGGCAAGGGAATGCACAGTCAGATGGTGTGCCCAGTCTGGACAAATGGAGCCTGCAGGGGGCGGAAGTGCTCCTGGCACCTGGAGGCCTATTTATCAGTTCCTGAGCCTGTATCCTTCCAGTGCCCTGGATTAATTTTGATTCTTCCTCCTATCTCCCAGAGTTGTCATTTCTTCTCCATTCTCACCACCTCAGAGCAATCCAAGCTCTCATTCCCTCCCTATGGAGAGATCTCTAAACTCATCCTCCTGTCTCCAATCTCTCCCATCTCCAACCCACAGTGCACAACCCATGACATTACTTTATATGCATAACCCACTCGCCCCAAACCCACCGATGGCCAATTACAGCTTGCAAAGGCCTTTCATTCCAGGCCTTGTAACATTTTCTCTCCACCCACGTCTCATGCCACCAATGGACTCATACCCACTCAACATAATACCCAGATTTCAAGCCCATGCCCATGCCGTTTCATTTACCTGGAAAAATTCTCCAGGTGGGGCACACATGGTTGTACAAATTGTGAACACTATGGTTTATATAAATGATACCCCCTTCCAGTGTACAACCTCTGCAACCTTTCAAAGATGGCTTGTTTCCATCCTCCTACACCTTCAAGGCCTTCCCAGAATGCTCAACGCAAATTGTTGATCAACTATATATCTGATTTCCACATCACCAACTTGACACCTTTTCTTCAAAAAAGTTACAATATTTGGTACACCAACAGTGCCTTGAACACAGCAGATACTTGCAAATGACAAAAGGCTAAGCAAATGACAAAGGGCTTGCAAATGACAAAGGGCTAAGTTAAGAAAGGCAAATTCTGGCATCAAGAACCTTGAAGGCCCAGAGAGAAGTTCTGACTCTACTTGGCAGGTGCCAGGTATGATCAACGATCAGAATGATGTTTCAGAAAGACTAATTTCAGCAACCATAAGCAAGCAGGGGTTGAGAGATTATACTGGAAGTGTCGGCTGAGGGGCTCTGTGGGCTGGAGGAAGCCTTCGGGGGCCTTCCTCTATAACGCACAGCCTCCGCAGTCATGCAGTCATCCTTCAGTTTATCTGTCTGGGATAACAGATATTGATTTTCACATGCCATCAGAGTGAAGCTTAAAACTGGGCCATTAAGCCAAGAAAAGGACGCTTTTGCCTGAAATATCTGCGTATCTAGGAAACAGTTCTGACTTGAATAATTATATACATACATAAAACACATATACACAAATTAAGCATTACTCTTATCTTCTTCCTTCACTTCTTTTGCAGTCTTCTCTTTTCCATCTGTCTCTCCCCTTTTTGGTTTCTCTCTCCTTCTCTCACTAAAATTATTATTCTTGTTTCCCATTTCTTTCCAAGTGCTTTACATTAATGACAGTGCTTTACTTCAGACTGCCCTCCCCTCCTCTCCAAACTCCTTCCCCCCAATCTTATCCAGCTTCTTTGACTGTTTTTGCTTATGTACTGATTTAGCCAACTCCCTAAATACTTGTACTAATAACTCAATTCTTCCACTTCCTTTGCTAATGTAGCCTCAACCTTCACTAACCTTAGAATTCTACAGTTACTAGTGAATCATTCCAAGGCCAATCATCCCATTTTCCTCTAGTCCTCTAAGAGAATCAAGGGCACTTATGTATTTAGGTATATAAATTAATTTTATTGTACTGTTGCAGTACCAAATAAGTATTTTTATTGGTAATTTGAAAACTCAAAACCTAATACATTAAACAAAATTAGTTTCCTAATGAATTTTCTTCCAAAGCACGTATCTTGGATGTCATGCCGAGATGTCCTATCAGTAGTGGACTCCATGGTACTGGACAATTTTATTTACTTCTCAGATTTGTACAAAAATTTTTACTCTCCAAAGGAAGAATATCACGTGGAGAAACCCACTGTAATATCAAGGCACATAACACCATTAGAAACATACACATGCCTATCAGGAAAAGATTACCTGGAGCAAGCTAAATTAAAAGTTGAATGAAGGGGAATTTTAAAACAATATCAAAGGTAAAAACAAAATACACAATTTTATATTTGTTCCCAAACAGGCTGTCTCCCTTAAAAGTCCAATTTTACCGAGGTAAAAACGACATAAGGAAAGGTTTGAATATTTTCTTTTCATCCTAAAGTGAAAAAAATTTTTAACTACTCAAATACTGTCCCTAGATTTAGCGCGGTTTAGATTTTTCTCTTCTGCCAAGGTAATGGATTTTTCCCTCCCCACACTAAGATCCCTCTGAATTCTACAGTGTGAATCTTTGGTAGCAAACGGTGGGCAGGTGCTTTGCTAACTCTATACTTCGTAGGAAAGGAGAGAATAGACACCTATTATCTGGAGTCTATCCTTACGTTAATGCCCTCCGTAACAACTCCTTACACTACGCATTATACAGAGAGTACAGACTGTGTAGGCAGTGTACACCACATTCACAATAGCAAGACGTAGTCTTTTCAAAACCACCAAAGACTGGCAAATTATTCAAAATGCTCTTAGCTCAATTTTAAATTGTTGAATACTACCAATAAAAGTTTAGAAAAATCTAATTAACCGGTTGCTAACTGCTCAAAAGTAAACTATTATCTGCCCTTCCCCATGCCCGGCGATTGGCCCACAAGAGGGGTGTTTTGTGCGTGGACCAGAGCCGACTAATGTCCGGGAAATAGGGGTGGGGAGTGAGCACCGACCGTCCCTTGCTGACCGCGCCTGGGGCTTCGCTGGGCCCCAAACCCAGACTGACTCGGCCGCCCAGAGGCATACAGGACAGAGACGGAACCGACGGACTGGACGAACGGACTGGACAGGACGGACGCGACGAGCAAAGAAGCAGTGCGTCCTACCCGGAGGGTTCCCTCCCAGGGATGGCGGAGTACCTGCTCCGGTCATCCAGGCTGCGGTTGTCGGCTGCTGCGGCGCGCCAGTCGGGCAGTGTGCTAGCGCACAACACCACCATGGACACGATCACAAACACCACTGACACGCTGGCCAGGATCTGCGCGGCCAGCGACGACGTGGGCTCCTCGAAGGTGCGCCGCATGCGCTCCAACCAACGCCTGGTGGGGGCTGCTTCCCCACCGCCGGGTCGCGCCTCATCGCGGCCCGGCTCATCTGCGGAGTAGAAGGTGTAGGTGTCGGACATGCGGTCGTCGAGGCGGCGCTGGCAGCAGTACTCCAGGTGTGCGCCCTCCAGGCCCCAGTAGATCATCTCGTTGTAGAAGGACAGCTCGCACATCCGCGGCGCGAAGCGCAGCTTGCCGTGGCCGCGCACGTAGAGCAGGATGAAGCCGAAGGCCTCCGAGTGCCGGTCGAAGAAGTACTCGTTGCGCTCGCGGTCGTAGTCGTCGCACACCTCGAGCACATCCCGCTCCGAGCGGCAGCCGTGCAGCCGGCTCACGCGGCGCAGAGGGAAGTCCTTCAGCAGCTCTCGGGACAGGGAGTACCGGGCGCCGCCCACATTCAGCACCACCGAGGCCGCCCCGCTGCGCCCGAAGGTCATGGTTGGCCGCCCCGAGGCCCCCAGGCCCCGAGGCCCGAAGGCGCCGCGGCCCCCTAGCCGAGCAGGATCTGCCTGATGTTGGCCGGTCCGGGAGCGCACCGTCGGGGCCCGCGGGCTGTCTGGCCCACTCTGCCTCCGCGCTCTGATTCCGCCCTTCTCTGGCCCGGGAATCCCTCGGCTCTGGCCTCTTCGGCAGCTCAACGTCGCTCCTAGCGACACTCCCTGCGCGCGGCGGTACCTGCAGGTGTCCAGGGAGTCCCCTCCGGCGCCAGCTCTGCACCCCACTGGCGGAGACCGAGGCTGTCAGCGCCGCCGCCCCTTGCGCCCTCGGGGTGCCCCCTCCGAGGCCCGGGTATCCTCTTCAAGGCAGGGCACTGTTCCTTCTGGGGGGCGCGGGCGCGAAGAGAGGAAGGTGGTGCAGATGGCTCTTGGTCCCCAGCTTTCCCTCCGGCCGCGGATGTGGCAACCGCCCCGCCGCCGTCCAGAGGCAAGAAGCAAAGTGAGCGGTTTCGGAGGCTGCAAGGAGCTGGCTCCAAGAGGCGGGGGCGGGGCCTCCTCGCCTCCGGGCTCAGCTCGGCTCACCTCCCAGCGCGCGCCGCCCTCCTCTTCCCGCCCGCACCTCTCGGGCTCGCTCTGGCTGGGATTCCCCGGCGCCCCGCCCTGGACCTCCGGCTCCCCGCCTCGGGATGCGGTCCTCCCCCTCCGCTCCCGCAGTGGCCGAGAGGGGTCCACGAGGCGGGGAGGTTTGGAGCGGGGAACCCCGGGATGCCCGGGGGGAGCTTGCTCCCGCGTCCCGCCCCGGGCCATCGGGATGATTTGGGTAGCCCCCAAGGACCCTTTTAACAGCCCCAAAGGGAGGCGACAGTGTGGTGGAGAGGATTGAGAACTGGGGTGCAGGACTTGAGGGGCGGGGACAGAGGGCATTCGGAGAGCTTTTTCCAGAAACTATTCAGAACCCAGCTTGGTTTCTGAGACCGCCCAAAGGATTTCTTAGAGAAGGCACCCCAGCAACTGCTTTTCGTGCCGACTTCGCTCTTCCTCTCCCCGCGCGGAGATTACGTACCGCGTGCTCCGAAGGCGGCCACACACCCCAACACCCAACCTCAGTGCCAACCTCCCGCGGAGGAGAGCGGCCCCAGCTCTCGCTTTCTGGGACACCGGTCCTAAGAGGGAGCCTACGGGTTGTGCGCCTGCAGCCTATTCTGACTCTTCCTCTAGAGCGGGGTGAAAGTCTGGGGAGAATCCGCCTCTCCACTAGCAAGAATTGCTGGTTGCCTTCGTCCGCATCCTCCTTTTCTTAAAGTCCTGACTGCCACCGTGCGCCCCCAAGCTGGCTGCAGCACCGGTCCTCGGAGCTTTAAGAGCTCCTCAAAGACTCCACAGAGTGAACTGCCCTGCGCTCTGCTCTGGTCAATGCCCAGGCAGTGGGTTCCACTTGGCAGTTACATTTTAAACTGCTACTAACAATTCACATATCTGACACCGGCAGCGCAGCCCGCGCAGAGGTGAAGCAGGTGAGTGGTAACGTAAAACTATGTTAAATGCAAAACAAATATTGGAAAAAAAATAAGGGAGGAAATGGGTGGGATGCGGTCATCTGATCTGAGAGTAACCCAGCTGGTTACTGGGAAGGGTTTTTACTTTACTTTTCGTAGTTTTGTAGGATTGTCTCGTGCCCACTAGAGGTCACCAAAAAGAGTCGTTTTGTCCTAGGTTTAGTATGGTTTCCTAGCGAAAAATCAGACAGCTAAAAATTGGAGTGGTCTCTATCACAATGGTAAAAGAAAGAAAGAGAGAGAGAGAGAGGGAGGGAGGGAGGAAATCACTGGATGGTTTTTTAATTTTCTTAGTTTGAATTGAGTTTATGTGGTGAGATAGGTTAATAAAACCATGCAGGTTTCAAGAGTACAGCTCAGTAACATTACCTACACACCACATTGCGTGCTCACCACCCAAAGTAAAGTCTTTCTGGCACTATTTATCCCCCATTTGCCCACCCCCACCCCACTTTCCCTCTGGCAATCACCACACTGTTGTCTGTGTCTGTATTTTTTTTCTTAATCTCTTCACTTTTTTCATCCAGCCCTCCAACTATCCACCCCCCCACTCCCCCCCCTCCACCTTCTGACAGCTGTCAGTCTGTTCCATGATCTATGATTCCGTTTTGACTGGGTGGTTTCTCTCCTTTTTCTTTCCCTTTCCCCCCCTAGTTTATTGGTGGGTGGTTTCTTAAAGAATGAAAGTTGTAAATTGTTTTCCCCTAGATTTGTATAGTTTATCTTAAAAGCACTTAATGTGATTAAAAGCTTAAAAGCAGGAGTTTATTTGCTGAGTAGCTACCAAACCAGGAAAATACCCTGAAGGAAACGAGTTTCCAGGCAGAGTGAAGGTGACGGTCTTGAGCTGGCTGCAAGAAAGAAGAGATTTCCAAGGAAGAGAATCTCCGATGTGAAGGATTAAAGTGTAAAGAAAGCAAATGCATTAACTTGGCTGAAAGAATGGAGATCTCAGTTGCAGAATTTAGATTTTATCCTATAAGCAAAGGGATCCCAAACGATTTTAATAATAGAAATGACTGATGAAAGCTTTATTTCAGGAAGATTCCTTTGCCTTTTGGGTTATTCTGCGAAGTCCATTTCTGCAACTCGGGAATGAGAATCCCACCCCCAAGTCTCTGTAGATGAGAAAGGAAACACTGAAACCAAGAGCTCAGCAGAGCTTGGAAATGGATTTGTTATAGGACATGAGGATGGAGAAAAGTTGGCAGATGTGAGCTGAGAGAAGAGCCTGGCTTCACACCAGCAAGAGCCAATTCCTCAGAGAGTTGTTAAAAATACTTTCTAGAAGCATCAGAAGCCATGGAACACAGAACTGTTTTGATTACTTGCTCCAACATTACTGTATTTATTTCCTGTGTTCGCCATCTAAAATCCCTTTAAAGTCTGTTGATTGAACCATTTAAAGAAATGTCACATTTTAAATTAAATTTGAGCTCAGAAAACAAATTAATATGATGCTAATACAATTTGTGCCTCCTAGGTATATTTTCATAACATTTCTTAGAGATGGGTTTAAATCACTTCATTTGTTTCAAGAGTCATATTCCTATTTGGTTCATCAGTGACTGGCACAACAGCAATACCCAAATCATTTTCTTAAAGAAAGAAACAGGAAGATGCAGAAACAGTTGGCTTGTCCAGTTTAGAAAGCATTCTTTAAAACAGTTCTACTCTTTTCTACTTTTAAAAGAAGGCTACATTAAGAATTATGACATCTAAATTCTTTTCTGGATTGTGGGTGATATTTAAGGCCTTCATATATAAATCTTTAGGATGCATTAAAATTTAAAGACATCAGGCAGAATTTTAGAATTTGAAAGAACCGAGAGACTTTGTTGTCTCGATTTACCAACCCATTATTTAGGGAGGAGTAAGGAGGCCTTCGAATGTGGCTGTAATTTCCCTAGGTTCCCTGGTCGGCAGCATCGCGGTGGGGACAGGCAGGAACTAGGTTTTCTAGTTCCAAACTCTAGTAACTCCATCTCCAGGCCTGCATTGCTACCACAACCTTCTATCTGGTCTCTCTGCAGTCCAGTTCTCTCCTCCGCCTGTGAAGCCTGGATTATGCCACCAGACAGCTCTTCCTTCTGTTCATTTCAATGGAGTCATTTCCCAGCTTGAGAACCAAAAAGGCCTATAGATCTACAGAATTACAATATTACAGTATTACTGTGTGCACAACGAAGTCTAAACTGGTTATTAGGGCCCTCCCTAGAGTAAAATTCTGGCCGCACAAGTTATTTGCTAAGTGACCTGGATCGAGTTCCTTAGTGCCCTTGGGCCTACATTTTCTCCCCCACATAGCAGAGATGTTGATCGCTACATCGAAGGGGCGGTGTTGGGATTAAATGAGTTGGTGTGAGGGTGGGCTCGACATCTCGAGCCCTCAACAGCTCAGGGCTCGATACTGGAAAAATCTCGGTTTATATGTGTGCTTACACAAGCCCAGAGAGGCCATGCTCACACTCATTCCTGGGTTCTAAAGAAACGCAAATTGGACAAATGATTTGATTCATCTAAAAATGTGACCTACTGCAAATAAGAAACCTAAAATGTCAAAAAGGCAGTGGAAAGTTGTGACCTTTTGGATTGAACACAGATCCTTCCATCACTTTACATTACACAACTACATGTGTTCAGAGATTCTGAACACCCTGCCCGGACACTTTATCAAGCGGGATATGTACCGTGTGGGTGCTGCCAGCCCTTGAAGCTTACTTATCAGCTCCAGTTTAGAAAGCCCTCCGTCTGCTGCTAATGCATATTTCCAAGTGTTTACACCAGTTTATTTCTCGGTATCTGCAGAACCAGTGGGTGCTTTAAAAAGTCAGCTTTTTTAATGGAAACACAGCCTGTGCACATCTCTATTTTTATGTAAATGAAAGACTACAGGCATCACCCATGATTACCCCTGTAGAAGGTAAACTTGTAACTTTCAATAAAACTGCCCTCATAACAATTGCACCAAGTTGACCCCATTCTTCAAAGTGAGAAGCCACCCACCACAGGGTCTTCTCACCCCATCCCACGCCAGTATTCTTGCCTCGTCTGCTCTGGGAGACTTCATGCTCTTACTCAGGCAAAAGGAACACTATCTTTCTTACAGTTCCAGCTTTGGAGGGTTACTGTGTAGTTATTATAGGGGAGGCAAGTTTTTACCTCTCCCTTAGAGTGTTCAACTGGGCCTAAGAATTAGATCAACATAAAACATATTAGCTGGAGCCCTAGCTCAGTTGGAGTGGATAGCTCAGTTGGAGTGTCATCTCCCTGTACCAAGGTTGCGCGTTCCATCTCTGGTCAGAGCACATGCTAGAATCAACCAATGAATCTAAAATAGGTGGAGCAAAAGTTGATGTTTCTCACTCTCAAAAAAATATATATATATATACATACATAGCCCTGGCTGATGTGGCTCAATGGATTGAGCACAGGCCTGCCAAT